GATTGACTGCACAGCTCAAGATGTTAATCTAGCTTGTTTATTACATTAATACACAGAAAATATTAATTGAAAAAGTTAGTTTCATAAACAAAAAATCACATTAAGATTCAAGAATTCTTTTTAAATGTTCATCAAGATTCAAGAATTAGAATATAATTAAACGAATTTGAGTTAATTTTCATCAAGATTCAAGAATTAGAATATAATTAAAATTTAAGTCGTGAAAGTAATGGATCAAACAAACAATTCGTATGTCCCAGATAAAAAGGATAGGTGTTATATACATATAAATTGTAAGAAAGAAAGCATGAATTTCGTTGAATAAATTTGAATCTAAAATTCACAAAACTGGAGAAAGTATCTTACCTTTCCAGTGTGTCCTTGCAGGATCCTACAACAAACTAGATCTGTTGGGCCGAACGTTACCGGAGTTTTACCTTGCGTTTTTGCATACCCAGAAACTGCAAAAAAGAAAACCAAAAAAAAATTTAAAAAAAATCAAGATCTCTGAGTAATTACGGAAACAGCTTCAAATAAGAAAGAAGTAGAAAGAACTAACCATCTGTGTCGAGTAATTGGAGACGCTTCTGCTTAAGTTTTTCACGGAGATCATTTACAGTCTGTGTAGCGGCCATGTGCCGCTCTTTCAGCTCCGCAACTGACATTTCTTTAAGGAAATTGAAACATGATTTTCACAAAATCGCAAGATTTTTTTTTGCTTTTGAATTAGGGTTTCTGAAGAAGAAAGAAAAAGAGAAAGAGAAAGAGTCTGGCTGAGACAGCGGCGAGTCACGGAAGTTGGTGGTGGTGTGAGGGTGGTTTCAGCCTTTTACAGAGAGTTGTTTGCCTGATAGCCGCCGGGCCCACCGTGTGCATGACGTGTGCTAGTGGGGTCCACAATGACTTCATTCCTCTTTGGGCTTCCGGCCCAAAACAGAGCTACGAGTACTACTTATGTGTTAATTTGTCGACCCATGGCCCATGGGAAAAATTTTGGTTTCCGTCCTATTGTGCCAATTTTTCGTGTTTTAGACATGTGTAAGGATTTTATTTTTTATTTTTGGAGTTCATTAATTTAGATGTGTACCGCCTAGATTTCATTTAGGGAAAATCATTTTTATTAAGAATTTCTCGTATTCATAATTTGAATTCAAATTTCTAATTAAAATAAAAATAAATATAGCTTCATACGCACCACCACAACATATGGTGGTGTGTAAGGTTTCCCTTTTATCTTTGAGCAAAAGTAAATTCAAATGTCATATGTTTTGACTAGTTAGCATATCACATGTTTATGATTTGCATAAGTTTCTGACATCACAGAATAGTTTTAACTTTTATCATTAAATAGAGTGTTAATAACTTTTTAATTTTAATATATTTTAACGTGAAAAAAATATTTTATTTGGAAGCATTCAACTTTTTTAGCTTCACAATAATCGCTTTAGTCGACATAAGGCTTGAGTCAACTTGTCTAGGACATTAACCGCTTGTCTCTAGATAAATTTTTATCTACTCGTTAGTGATCGTACTATTTCTCTATGTTAAACATGGAAAGTAAATTTATTAGTACTTACTTTTAATTTGTTGAATGAATGCATATGAGATTGTGTCCACGAAGTATGAGGTGTTCTAGTGAAGTCCATAACGACTTCAATAACATCAATTATAAGTTTTCTTTTGCATTTTCTATCAAAATAAACTTATAGTAAGTCATTAATCTAGGGAAAAAATTTCATTACTTGTCTCACTATTGATACGTATGAAAAAAATCTCAAAAAAAGTGATTTCTCAAATCTTATCTTCAAGTATAATTTATAAAATGTTCTACCTTTAGAATAATTAGCTTTTCACATAATTTAATTTACGGTAGGTAACAATTTCTATTTTCACCATTAAATAGACTATCAATCATTTCATACCTAAATATTCGAAGTCAAATATATTTTAAAGTATAGAAGGGGCTTTGTCCTACAATATTTGATTTTTTTAAAACTATTACTTTTGTGACCTTAGATTGAGTCACCTTGTTTACACTTTTAACATTGATTGCTTCTCCCCAAGTAAATCCAGTTCCATCCCCAACCATTAATTATTGTGTGATTTCTGTGTTAAACACGGCAAGTGAATTTATTACCCTAGATTTGATGAATGGATGCAAATTTATTCGTTTTATAATATGGTGGTTTGTGAGATATGGCAACTACAAAAATTCATGTCTGATACCTTTATTAACTATATTAGAAGAGTGAGTATCAATATGGTATCAACAATTAGGGATATTTTTGTAATACTCTTTTATGCTACGTGTCATTTCTATTGTTCTCAATAACCTGCATCAGCTATCCTTTTGCCTCTCTATCACTACTGTGTCTATCTTCTCCACCGCACAACACAATACAAGCCATAGAAGACCACTCACAATTCCAACATTCTTAATACTTTCCTTTTAATCTAAGAACTCAAATCTACTTGGAGCTATATACGAAAAATTGAGTTTTTTTTTAAATCAGATTTTAGGCCGAGGTTTAATTTGAGTTTCACTCAACGATTTTGGCATAGTGAAGAAAAGCAGATATCCAAGTTAGAAGAAATGCTTTATTTGTGTGAATTTGGATGTTTAATGTTCTTGCAATTGAGTCTGTTGTCATATTTGCTTTAATTTTGTTTCAATTGTTGTTGAAAGTTATAGAATTGCAGATTTATTTTCTCAATATAATTTATTAGATCTTCTGAGACTTTCGATAGTTTATACTAATTATATACTAACTGATGATTAACATGAGTCTCACTTTATTCTTGCTTTCATTTCTATTTATAATTTTTCTAGTTGTTAACACTTTGTTCTCATAGTGTCTTATTAAGTCAAATGAACATGCATTGTTTCGAAATTTTGCTTCAATAAAGAAAAAAAAGGGGCTAGAAATAAACTGAACTCTGGATTTAACCTTCGATTTATTTTCATTTCTTACAATTGCTTTATTTATGCCTCTAACCAAGGTAGGAGTATTATTATATTTTCTCTTTGTTCTTACAGAGTTTTAAGCTAATTCATTTCATTTTGACTCTTTGATCATTTGAGGGTGTGGAAAAATTTTGTTGGAATTTTGGGATTATGAACATTTATTTTAAAATGTTCCTTTTTACTTGAACCATTTGAACATTATTATCAACTAACAAGGAATGCACTTGCTTTCATGGTTAATAGGTAATCTTCATGTCAGTTATATCTTATAACTAAAGAGATTTTTGTCCTTATGTTTTATGAATGTGATTTTCATGGCTATGTGATAATTGAATAATTTGATTCCAATTAAGAAAAAGCGAGTAATTTGCTGAACTTTAATGACAATTTAGAAATCTATTTGTCGTTGGTACAAATGCTGATTGAGCTTGAGCTTATTAAAGTTGTAGCATCAAATATGTAGTAGTGGTGGAAATATTTGGGAAAATCTACTTGCAATTATATTCGAACTTGTTGGTTTCACTAAAAGTTTATTCAAAGATATTTTCCCAACCATTTACACAACTATATGCACTCAAGGCTATTACGTACTATATTTTGTTGCAAATAGGTAAATGCCAAATGTTGAGGAGACATTTGGATGGATGAAATTGTGTGAGGCCATTTTTGGGTGGACAGGCACGTCTACAAGATTTTGACTTCATCATCTAATGAAGTTTGTACAACTTAGGGAGTATAGATGTTTAATGAGAATCTCTGTTTAATTAAGTTCCTTTTCAATGTTCCTTTACGAAATTTACATTATAGTTTGATTATGTCTGATTGCAAACTTAATCATGATCCGTAAATTTATAATTTTGATCCAAACATGTAAAAAGTACTCCAAATCACATGTTGGGCCCGGGCGCAGCACGGGCATTTGGCATCTAGTATATATATATATAATTACTAGTAAAATTACTCGCTTCGTGCGGGTATTTAATATCACAAAATATATAAAATAATACTTAAAACCTAAGCATAAATTAATGACTGTAAAAATACATATCAGGATATGTAACATAAGCAATGGTGTCACTGAGCCACTCAACATGAGTAAAGTACACAAATATTTAATTGTGAAGAAGAAGAAAAAAAAGAGGAGGAGGAGGTTCAGAATTTTCGTTGATTTAAAATGAGAGGAAATCTCTCTATTTATAGACAACAAATGGTAGTGTGAACAAATGTTTATTATGCCTTATCGGAAAGGTTACATCTATTTGAAAAAGTTGCAACCCTTCAGAAAGGTCACAACCTTTCATAAAAGTCACAATTTTTCATAAAAGTCGCAACTCTTCATTAATGTCGCAACTTTTCATAAAATTCGCAACTCTTCATTAAAATCACAATTTTTCATAGAAGTCACAATTTTTCATAAATGTCACAACTTTTCATGAAAGGGGAAGGCTAATTTTGAAAATAATTAAATTAAAAGTGAATTCTGATTTGTTGTGGCGCAACGTAGACGGACTAATGTTCTCTTTTATTATATATATGATATGATATATGATTTTCAAGCAAATAGCAAGACTATTGTTTTAGAGTAAAACCCCATTAAGTTTTGACTTGCTTCGTTTTCTTTTAAATTTTTACTTTATTGCTGGAGTCTGAAAAATCAATTTCATGGATCACGATTACAAGTTTTAATTTGGTTAATAGAATATAACATTAAAGAGAAGTATCAAATTTATCCAACAAACTGAAACTGATAAACAAAAATAAACTATGTGAAATTTATTTCCAACAAAAATAGTGATCTACCTACACACCACTCTCTTCAATCCCCCGGGATTACTCGGGATATGTTGTTGACTTGTTGTTTGGAATGAAAATGATAGTATTAAGGAACTATACACTTCAAATTTAGTTCTTCTTTAAAGACAATCCTGATCATTTTAGCAAAAGAAAAAAAGGGGTGGATGCGATTATTTATCGACCAATTTATATAGTTACATAAACTACTCCATCATATAATAAAATATATTTAGATACTAAATTAGATGCTCTGCGTTATAAGTTGCCACCAGGATAAGTACAGCCATTGTAACCTAAGAAAAAGAAAGAGGAAAAAAAAAGAAGTTATTTGTTGACAAAAAGACAGGGCCAATTAATCAAGTACCAAATATGAAAGCTACATCCTTGCAAAACACATGTTTAACTAGTTATTAACAGTTTGAAATTTGGATTGACATTTGTATCTAATTTGGAAGAACACTTTTGTCATTGAATTATTATACCACATTGGATGTGGAATTAAATCATAGCAAGATTTCAGTATAAATTATACCAATATTTTACTAATATGAAAACTAAAATGCAAGCAAATGATGTTTTTTTATAACTCCAGTAATCAAACAAGAGGTAACATATTCAATCAAGTACTCAAATGGTATTGTGGAGAAGTGTTGGTGCAAGATGAGAAGAAACTTACTAGGATTTGTTGAGGTGAGGGAAGCGGTCTCAGAGAAATCGCAGTTCCAGGGATTCCTTCCAGCAGTTTGATAAATAACATTCATAGCATAAGCAGCATGCGATGCAACAGTATTTGGTTCAAAGCATGGACCGCCTTCTTGAATAGGGCTACAGTCAATACCCATGCTACAGGCGTAGTCGAGGTTTGACTGTAATTCAGAATCAGGAATTCCTGGCTTTGGCAAGCACCAAGTAGCTGATCCTGTTGGCTTTGGTGCTGGTGTAACTGGAGTTACTGGAGTTGTCGGTGTTGCTGGAGCAGGGGTCACTGGAGCTGTAGGAGTCTAACAAAAGACACAAAACGAACAAACATAATAAGGATCTTCAGCATGAGTTGATTATTGAGTACTGGCCTTCAATCCTAATGTACTTTCTCTATCCCCTGCATCTTATTCTAATGCAGCGGTACATATGCTACCTTCTGTCTTTATTATTCGTCTCTGAAGATTTTTGCACACTTGTTAAGAAAGACATTAGAATTGCCTTCAATGGTAAGAGTAATTTTCTAAACTATTATTTACCTCTCCTAATCGTATCATAATATTCCACTAGTTGGACTAGCAAGGATCAATTTGAAAAATAAGGAAGTAACAAATGCTCCTTGCCTTTCTAAAATGTTAAAATATTTGGGACATATACAATTTGCCAAAACGACTAATATTTGTGATCGAAGGAAGTACTACAGATATTACCTATATGGCTCTTGAAACCTAAAATCTATTATCATTTGATTGAAAACATATATTTTCTTCATGTCCTTGGAACTTATTTTCTGTTTTTGGTTCAAACATGTTTTCGAAACTTGTTGGATGGCAAATTATTGTTCTCACCTGGGAATTTTTTGAGAGGCCAGCATCATAAGTCGTGGAAAGATCAGGCTTGAAAAGTCCAAAGGAGCGTTCCGAGCCAGGCCCAGGCTTCAAATCCTCATCATAGAGAGCAAAGATATAGGTATCGACTGATATTCCAGGCATCAATGGAGTGCCAACCATAGACCTCAAGTGGTTTATCAAGTTACCGTTATAAGCTTTTGCATTATCCATACTTGGGCCTACTTCATTTGGATCTCCCTTGTATGGCCACCCTGTCTCTGCAACCACAATTTGAATTTCCTTAAATCCCCACGCATTCAGGGCTGAACGTACGGCGTCAACCTGCAGGCACACAAAATTTTCTCTCATCTGAGCAACTAATTAAGGACAATTTATTGAAATTGGGAATAGAAGCGTTACAGAATTAGAGCAGTTGATTTAGTCAGCAAGTAAAAGGAGATTCTATTGATAATGGTTCTAGAGCGGTTATGATATCAGGGAACAGTGGAATAGACCAACTATATTCGTCTCGATTAATATGTATATATTTGCTTTCCACCAGATGTTCGTTACCCGCTTTTGGACCCCACGAATTCGGATTCACGCCTGGAAGTCTCATTTTGGCATAGCACTCTACCTACCAAATATCTTCCTCTTGAATATATATACTCTCAATGGATGCATTAAAAAAAGCTTTCAATGTGTCCAGTTACTCCAGTCCAAACTCATTGGTTATAAATCCTAATCTATCTCTAACTTGGACACCATGAAAATATCAAAACAATATGGTGCCATTTATGATTTTTCAAAACAAAACATGTGCACTACTTTTTCTAATGTGTACTTCCATTTACAAAATTTTGATGGTATATACTCTTTTGAAAGTATAGCATTCTATTGGGCCCTGCACACCAAACTTTGCAGAACTATTTTCAGTTTGAATTCACTGTTTACATATGTCCAAACAGATTCCAACGAAATCAGCAATAATTTTGCTTATCAAGTTGTTATCCTTTCATATGTAAGAGTCAAGTTTCCCATTAAATATTGTATAACATTTGAGAATCAGAACCTTGTCCAATTACTAATTTTTAATGAAAAACAGGCTGTCATTACCACGCAAGAGTCAAGATCCAGAGTACTAGATGCTTTTTAGGTCCCATCAAATTGCACAAAAAAAGGCCAAGAAATAGAGGTCACTAAGTAGTGATTATGTATAGTTGGTCAATTATTAATTATTATTGTCTTGCCAATTAGTATTAAATTACATACCATTCATTACTACTACAGGGGGGAAAAGGAGCCAATCAGTAAAATGTTCTAACAGTAAGAAAGTATGGGAATATAGAGTTGAAATATTTTCTTATACTACTACTAGCTTTTCAGCACATGCTCTTGAAAGAATTTCTACAGCTTCTTAATTTTTCATAATAGTTACTAAGTATATATTTAGAAACTACGTAAAAAGTGAACTACTAACCTGTGCGTCAAACATATTCATGTATTTGATACCGTTGCCTGAATCGACCCGGCCAGCATTTGGTTGGAAGAGACAGAATGCCAAGGTTTCAGGTCTAGGATCACTCTGGTATGCAAAGAATGGGTATGGATTGATCATCAAAGGCGAACCATTTTCCTTGTGAAATTGCAGCAGAGCTTTCAGTGAGTCCCCAAATACTGGACTGAATAACCCGGAAGAAGGCGGGTCGGACTGGGACAAAATGGACATGGCGTGTACCGTTGATACCTTGATTCTACCACCAAGGGAAGCTGCGTTGGCAGCACCATTTCGGTTAAAAAGTACCACGTGCACACAGATAATATACTCCCTTCAATCGTACGTAGGTCCACTATCAACTTTAACAAATCAAATATCTTTTTAATAATGATTTTATCAAACTCTTTATATTCATTTTCTATGATGCTCTCTCCTTTTAGTTTCTTATCGTCATAGAAATGTCGCAATGTGTTTGAGACTACAGCTTCTAAAGATATGCCTAGTATGTACTTCTTTTGTCGCAATTAAACATGTTAAAATGAAATAGAGTAAATATACGAATAATGAATGGTGTAACTTATACTATTCCTAGTATGTACTCACCCTGTCCCAACCAAAAATGCCGCATTTCTATAATTTATAAATAACTCAACTTTAAAACTAATCATTTACTTTTAATAAAATGATTTATAACGATATAAATATTTACGATTTATTTTAAACTATAAATTTCAAAAGGTATGATTCTTTGGTAAACTTTATTTAAATAATTTAAGAAATCTATGTCAGATTTGATTAAAAAACTTGGATACTTGACTTCTAAATTCCGCGTAAGAAACATAAGTCAAAATCTGAAAGACATTGATCAACAACCACCTACCAGCGTTGAGGGCGTTTTGGACATTTTGCATGGCGGGCAATAGTTTGGGAATAAGGTTCTGATCTCCTGAGGTCACGACTTCGTTACCCACATTCACCACAATTATTTTACTCGCCGGATAGTACGCCAAAATATTGTTATTAACCCATTGTCCGGCGAAATTTGGATCGGCGGCAAGCGCCGGAATATCTCCGTTGGAAGCACCGATCACAATCCCGATCCCGGTATTCGCCAACGCTTTTATGATAGCCGGATCCGCTCCGTACAACCTCACCTTCTGAATGCTCGTCGATTGAATGAGTTTCACCGTCTCCGCCGGCGGCGGGAGGTTGTCGGCAATTTGGCCGTAGTTTACACCGATAAAAGCCTGCGAATCTGAATTACAAGACGAATTAGTATAAAAAAACAAAAATCACGTTGAAACTTGTTTAATCATACAAGTCATTTTCAGATAAAGACAATTAGTTTTATTCATAATAAAATCTCTCTGCGCTGTCAAATTTGAACAAATTGTTAACAAGTGTTCACTAACTGTCTAACACCATTAGACAATTGCACCGATTAAACAAAAGAAGTTATCGAGCTGAAAAGCAGTCAGGCTTTTTCTTCCAGAAAGCAAAGTATAGATTCGATTTAACAAAAGAGTCAATTCGCGTCTTAATCAGAGAAAGTGGAAGTTAATTACCTGCAGAAGAAAGGGATTGCAATAAAACAAGGAAGATAAGGAAGAAACTGGAGAGTTTTTGTGGAGCCATTGATGAAGTTTGTATGTGAAGAGGAAGAAGAAGAAGGAGGAGGAGGAATTTAACGGTAAAATGAATAGATATATTTATGATGGGTGGAGTGGGGTCCAGTGTGAAGAAAGTGGAGTAGATTTAACAAGTGAGGTTTGAGGGAATGAAGGTGTGAACATGTGTGTGTGCGTAGTTCAGTAGAGTACAACACAGAAAGTTTCGGTGCGGTTTCGTTTTTAAGGTCTTCGTCTTTGTAAGGTGGACTTATATACACCTCCTTAGTCAAGTTTTATCTTCATTCCGTTTATTTTTATCACTTCATTTTAAATTTTATATGCTTAAATAATAATTGATATAAATATTTTTATTACGATATTCATATTAATTAATATATAATTTTAAATTTTAAGAAAATGAATAGATATATTTATGATGGGTGGAGTGGGGTCCAGTGTGAAGAAAGTGGAGTAGATTTAACAAGTGAGGTTTGAGGGAATGAAGGTGTGAACATGTGTGTGTGCGTAGTTCAGTAGAGTACAACACAGAAAGTTTCGGTGCGGTTTCGTTTTTAAGGTCTTCGTCTTTGTAAGGTGGACTTATATACACCTCCTTAGTCAAGTTTTATCTTCATTTCGTTTATTTTTATCAGTTCATTTTAAATTTTATATGCTTAAATAATAATTGATATAAATATGTTTATTACGATATTCATATTAATTAATATATAATTTTAAATTTTAAGAAAATAATCGATAAATAAAAGTTCAAAGTTATGAAGGGGATACTTTGAAAATTTGCAATTGTTATACTTTAGATACGAACCGTATATATAAACTTGCTTTTGTTTGGGAAGTGGCAAGCTAGATATAAATCACACTAATAGGTTAAATAATGGTGAATAAATATATTATTTGTACAAAGATGTAGACCTAAATCACACATGTCATCATTAAAGAATTTAAGCGGATTACATAAAGATAAGCCTTTTTTTTCTTGAGCCGAGGATTTGCTAGAAATAAATTCTTTATTTTTAAGATAAAGAAATTTTTTGGATATATTTAAATTTTTTTCAAACTTCACTTAGTGAGATTACATTAATATGTTACTTCTTATACATAGTAAAGAACAAAGTATAAGAGGGGGGTGGGGGTGGGGGGTGGGGGTGGGGGGATGTTTATGTAATGATAGAAATTAGTAGAAATCAAGTTTTAGTTACATTAACTTTGAATCTAATGTGTGCAAGAGTAAAATAAGTTGCTCGGATGGTAAATATAATTTAAAGAGGTAAAATAAGTTGCTCGGATGGCAAGTATAATATAAAGAGGTAAAATAAGTTGCTCGGATGGTAATTATAATCTAAAGATGTAAAACAAGTTGCTCGGATGGTAAATATCATCTATCTTTAAATTTATATTTATGGATTTGAATTACCAAAAAGTAAAAAAAATAAAAATAAAAAATAAAGGTGAAGCTCGTGTGAAGGGGTTATTAAAAAAAATGTTTGTTGGAAAACTCTTATTGATATATTGTACTCCTTCCGTCTCAATTAATGTAATGTTTTTTTAGTCCTTTCAAGAAAAATATTACCTTTCTATAATTAGGAACAACTTAATTTTAAAATTTCTCATTTACTCCTAATGAAATGATTATATCCACATAAATGTCTAAGATTTGTTTTATATCACAAATTTGAAAAATCTTCATTTCTTTTTTAAACTTTATATTTAGTCAAATAATATCACATAAATTAAAATTAAGGAGACAGTAGAAAGCTGAAATAACTTATAGTGCTTAAATTGTGTCTGTCAATAAAAATGTGTATAGAATATAGACTATAACAACAATACTACACCCACTAAATTATCCTATACAATTAGAGTTTGAATTTACTACAAGAAAAGTGTGAATTACATGGTAAGTTTCCTACAGATTTTCATACTAATCTCCAGGAAAATCCCCATGTAATTCACACTTTTCTGATAGTAAAAGAAGATATGAAGTATGTGAACCTTACCTTCTATTTTTATGGAGTAGAAAGATTGATTTTAATTTATCGACATAGGAAAAGCAAGAAAAAGAAAAGAAGCAAATGTAAAATATAGACTAAGAATATATTATGTGTAAAAGAAATTGACATCGATATTATGTTTATTATAAGTGACTCATATTATAAGATTATCTTGTGCATAAATGTTTGATTTAGCAATAATCTGAGTAGATATAACTTATTATAATGATTAATTGTCTAATAAACATGACACGCATAAAGCACGGCCAATAGCAGTTAACGTGGCTTTTATTTCACGCAACGTTTCCGTAACCCCGAAATGTTACTCTCTCAATCCAAAAAATAAATAATAAATGTTCATTTTTAATTGTATAGTTCACAAATTTTCTCACACATATCTTAAATCCAAAGATGCCATAGATGTTGTGAAATGGAGGGAATATTATTTTTAGAGTACAAATATTTTAATTTTTATTCATGCCCATGGACCCCACATCCGAAAAATTAAACAAGAAAACAAAGAGAAGTTTACTCTTGGCTAGTTGTAAAGATATAATTTTGATTAGGAGGTTTAATATAATTTAGGAAAAATTGTATGAAATAGCAAATTACTAATTTAAATTAAATGTTATAGTCATAGTTTCTTTTATTTGTAATTCGCAGCAAATCTTTCATGTTTTTTGCCATCTCATTTATATATCGAAATATACAAATAAACCGAAATATACAAATACAGGACCCATTTGTAGATCGAAATATACAAATGCAAGACCCATTTGTATATGAAAATATACAAATAGACCCAAATACATATATTTTATGTAAATGTATACCGAAATATACAGATTAATAGCCATAGCAAGCATAAAATTTGCTATGGAGCGCAATTATGCAAACTATAGCTATAACATACAAATATGATTTTTATGTTTGCTAAATCTAAAATTTACTCCACACATTAGGCATCTAGCGTCTTGTTAGATAAGGAACATTTAAGGTTTGTGTGTTCTGTTTTGTTAATTGATTGATTAGGAATGCAAATTTGGTAAAGTTGATAACGTATGACAATTCTCTGACTAAAAGAGTACCATAGGGTTCTTATTTTATGAGTTTATTCCATATTGTATAAACTGAAACGCATAACGGTTTCAAAAGGTTTGCGTAATCGTGTAAGACTCAATTACAAAGCCATTCTAAGCAAACATTGACATAACACGTATTTAAGCTTTACAAGTGATTGTTTCCACAACTTAATCAAAGAAAGTTAAACTCACTCTGCTATACTTGGACAAACGTAGGTCATAATGGAATAACTAATTCATTAAGGGCTTATTTGGGAACAAGTTATCTCGAGATTAATTATCCGACGATAAGTTATCCTAGGATTGCTATTTCATCCTCAAAAATTAGTTATTTAACAGCATAAAAGCACAATCAAACAAATGTGAAATGCTTTTAAAAGAGTAATAACACAACTTGAATATGCTAAACGGAACAATTTCATAGTTGACCACAGGTTTTTCCAACTGATTAGGACTTTTCTATTTTATAACATTGAATGGAAGATTACATGGGCTGTGGAAATTATATAATGTTCCACAAAAAAGAGAGCTTTAAAACATTGAATGGAAGGTTACATGGGCTGTGGAAATTATATAATGTTCCACAAAAAAGAGAGCTTTAAAACATTGAATGGAAGGTTACATGGGCTGTGGAAATTATATAATGTTCCACAAAAAAGAGAGCTTTAAAAGGTCAAGCTCTGGTACAAATAACAAAAATGTGACAACAGAAAAGTCACAAAGCCCCTTACTTTGAACAAACATAAGGTACAGAACATACCTTACAATCAAGAAAGAAAAGAATCGACCATCTTTCAGCTCTCCAATATATCAAATTGGTTAACACAAAAATAATTTTTAAAAAATAAAAAGGAAAACAACTGGATGTAATCACTAGTTAAGCTCCAGAGTGGGAGACTGGAGTAGTCACGAAGCGCCCGTCCTTGTATTCATGAGCATACTGCTGTGGCAAAGCATGCTCACCCTGCAATAATGTTCACACATTAAAGCTTTAACTAGTTTCATCTAAAACATGAAATCTGATACTTGAAGTTCACCTTTTTGCTTCATAAGATACAGTTTACATCTCTATTTAAAGAAAGTGTGAAGAGGCACCGAAAACCATGATCATTTTCCCAGGTTGAAAAGCTAGTCTTGCTTGCGTACGTGAAATCCATTAGGATAAAGCACAAAGGCAAAAATATAAAGGAAAGGAAAATGCGATAAGAATACCATGCATTTTCAGAAGGTTCAACAAAAACCTCTCTACCTTCACAAGGAAGGGTAAGGTTACGTACAGACCACCCTTATACCGAGTATGTTGTCATTGTAAAGAATGCATTGGCAGACATGTAAGGAATATTGACGACATCTGACTTAATGCAATGCTTCATCCACAATACCAATTAAAATAAAATGGAGGAGGAGAGAGAAAAAAAGAAAAAGAGAAGACAACATTACCCAATCATCATCGGGCCCATCACCAGGAACCAAAACATTGATTTCACTTGACTTAGCTGTTGTAATAGAACCATCCAAAGAATCTTTGTTCAAGTATAACTGGCATCCATTTGTATTGTCGATTGAAATTGTAGGAGCTGAGCCCTAGTATCCCACATAAAAGGAGCTTTAACATTAATCTCATGAAAACATAGTTATATAATTGTTAATACTCAAATTTCATTACACTGCACTTTTTCTAGACCATTACTTATAAAGTTTTGAACCATAAATTTTGATACCTGACATTGCACCTCTACACCGTTGCAATTGACAACCTCACAAGCTGCCACAACACCCTGTGCACCAAATTTAGATGATCAGGTAAGCCATTTAGTGGATGATACAACAGCCTTCAATATTTAAAGAACTTTTCTTGAAGTTCATCACTGACCGCGAATACAACTCCCATCTTAGTGCATTTGTCAATGGTGATGTTGTTGACTTTTCCTGTGTGCCATCAGTATATATCAATACAAGTGCAACATAAACCCACCTTGTTATTGTCCAGTTTATGCTACTTCACTTATAGAGAAGAATTATGTTACCTTTTATCTGCAGAACTGAACCTTTGCACCCATAGACATATACTGATTGCTTTGTATCGCAATCATCAATAACTAGGTTCTTTTCTCCTACTTGATTCTCAA